TTATATTTGACCTTCCCTCAACCAAGTGCCTTCTTTATACCTGTCAAGTCCTCTTAATTCGCAAATTCATGTGCTTTGGTTGTTTTAGAGTATGAACTAGACGATAAGCAAGCCTATGTTGAAACTTGATTGCCGACCAATTTGAGCGTTCCCATTTCATATTTATGTAAGAAACTGAGTGAGGCATTATACATGATATTTTCGTGTTTGAGAGTTTGTCTTGTCAATGCGTACCATATAAGTTGTAATTGAGATGTGTTTTATTGGTCTTTTGAAGTCTCCTCGGCTAAGTCAATGAATTTGAAACTTTTCTTATTTGAAGCCGATATCCATGCTTGTGTCTTGTTTTCTTTTCTTCTGTTTTTGTTCGGGACGAACAAAGGTTTAAGTGTGGGGGAGTATAAATGGAATATCATGACTTAAACAAGTCATGGCGACTTAACAGTTATCGAGACTTTTACAGTCATCACGATTTAAACGATCATCGCCACCTCAAAAAGGAAGTAGGGAAAGAACAGCTTGAAAACAATGGCAAATTCGGATTAGGCTAAAAGAGTAAGCCCCAAAGCATGCATAGCATAGAATCAGTGATACGATTCAATAACAAGGGTGAAATCACAGTTGAGATAAGTCATAATGTCATTACCATTCATGAACGGAAGAAAATAGATAGGATTCATAAGCAAAATAGGTCGACATGACCTCACCATAACATCAAAAAAATATCGAGTTCATGAGTTCTAAAAATTCTGGTCTTATGACCACTACAGAACCAAAAAAACAAAAATTGAAAAGGTTCCAAGATTTCCATCTTCATTCCCAGCAGTTTCATTCTCGGCAGCATCAGTCGCGTCCTCATCAGGGGCAGTCCCACTAACCCCTAATTGCTCGACGGGACCAACCAGAGCGGTCGGGGGAAAATCGAGCTGTTTAGCCAGGTCCGTCCTCTGGATGGCCCGAGCCTCGAGGACGACCCACCATGGGTGTTCAGGAGGTAGAGTCGGGTCACCATGGCACCCGTCAGGGAGAGGCAGACCGGCCCCAACCTGGTTGCAGTCGAGGTGAGCTGAAAAGTCAGGTTTATCCACATCCGATTCCCACTCATCGAACGCGAAATTGAAGTACTGCAGAGCTGCGGGTTTGATATGCTCTAGGAAGGCGGGAGAATTGACGAACTGGTCGATGACCTTTTGGCGATAGGTCTCAAGGAACACAGAGCCGATTGGAGACTTCAGGAACGACTTGCGTGCCTCGAGAAGCACAATCTCCTTCTCCACCAAGAGCTCAACTTCCCTCTCCTCATGGACTTTCTCGAGGTCGAGCCTTATTTTTTCGGGCTTTTGAAGGGCCACGACTTTTTCAGTTTGTAGTTTGGTGATCACAACCTTGGCAGCCTCGAGCACCTTAGTCATCTCCTCGAGCTGTTTCACCTTGGTGTGGTATTTCTCCTCTAAAGCTTCCATGTTGGAATGAAGAGAAGAGGTCCCTTTCACCATGGAGGGAGAACAACTGCGAGGAACTACAAGAAAAATAAAACAACAATCACGACCTCGATAAGATGGTATAAGGATGAAAAAGTAGATTGTAACCCTAGTCAGGGCCCGAGCAGCACAGCAGGCTCGGTCATAAGGATCAATCTCGAGGTGAGTTTTGTCATCTTCGGGAAGGGAAGAGAGGAGATAGCTCGTACTCTCGTGACCATCCTTATTGTTGTGAAGTCAAGAGGGCTGTTCCAGAGTAACTGGACTGACTCGGATATGGAAAGGGAAGAGGACTCGGTCGCACCCTCCTTACCCTTTTGGCATTTAGCCTCGTCTGGCAACAACTTGAAGATTCGTTGATCAGGAACCCATTTTTCTCGACTGGGAGCCAGAGACAACAGACTTATTCTAAGGGGAACTCTAAGCTGCCGAGGCACGACCTGTGCTCTTCTCGACCACGACTTCCTTAGAGCCTGAGCTTGAGCCGCCCGACTGTTTTTTAGGCGAAGAAGGACGACCGACGGACCCGCCTTCAGTGGGTTTTTTCTGTTTCTTCGTCTCGAATATCTGAAGATACGAATCTGCGAGAAAGAAAATGATAAAGATAAATGATTAAGTAATCACAGATAAAGGGAAGAAGATGACTTACCGAGGTTGAGTTCAATGAGAGCATCACTCTCGTGAGTGATGCCACATTGGTATCACAATATGGGATCCTTTACCATCTATTGAGCACTCCAAGTATGCTTATTCAACTCCTTTACCATTTCCACGAATTGAGGAGATCGCGGTTTGCTACGTTGATTAACCTTCTTTGCTAACCTGGTGTTTGTGAAAAAATAATATCCAGAGGGAGGACGAATAAAAAAGAATTTTGACCATTCAGTCACGTTCGAGGAAAGATCATCCAAAAACATAGCCCCACTATGACGACCTATACAATGGGTCCTCTTCTGGAGCTTATAACCATAACAGTAGAAGAAAAATTTGGGTAAAAACTTGCGAAGTTTTATTATGGAAATCATGATGAAGGAAACCATAAGACGAAAAGAATTTGGAGCAAACTGATTAACGAGAATATGGTACAAGTTTCTAAGGGTAATCAGCTCGCGCTGGATGGAAAAATGGAGACCAAACATCACTTGATCCATAAAAAAAGGTGCAGCCTCGAGGAGGGCGAGAACAGTCGTCATTGGGACAAGGAGCAATAAAATCCCACTATGATAGCTAGCAGTACGACTTATAACCTGCAAGCTCGGTTGCAGGGGCATAAGAAAAGAGAGTTAGAGTGGCTACTCTAGTTAAAGGACATGCTATTGTTACAACATGAGTATTTAGGTCGAAAAGAGGAACAATGATTGGTGCAGCAGTAAGACTAGTCATATATACATGAATATCTAAAACCCTAAGAGGAATACCTCGAGGTATGGACTCAAAACGAGTAGAATCATTTGGGGAGATCGACCTCTGAGCACGATTATAATCCTCCCAGTCGACCTCCTAGTAGTGTCATTATCCGACTCTCGAGAAGGATTACCCTGATCACAAGCTACTTCGAGGTTTATTATTTGGATAGAAGAATCAGAAGATTCGAGGGCCTCATCAACCAAACGACTAAGTGAGTCAGGAGATGAATCTATATGGTTTATTTTTAAGATAAGAAGTCGTGATCAGATTGGACTTTAATATAAGGAAAGCGTGACTAAGTCGAGGTCGCAATAGACAAGTGGAGACGACTTACATATTTGAATTTAAGCAAGACACATCTACCTAAGTCGATTTGCAAAAAAACATAATTGTCAAAGGGAAACTGACTCACACAATCAGAACATATTTTGCCAGAATAAGCATGAAAATTATGAACGTCACGAAGAACACAAAGAACATTCAAATACATTTAGCTCAAGCCCAGGAAATTGAAGAAATAATTAAGGAAAAATATAGAAACCTTACTCATGATTGATCGTCGAGGAGGATGGAGGTTATTTAAAAATTGAAGGAGATACGCCGGAGTTGAGAGGAGCGCCGAGAGGTGCTGGAATTCTCTGAAGCTTGTGGATATTAGAGAGAAAAATTATGAAAATGAAGGCAAAGGGAGGTATTTATACTTGACCTTTGTAATGAGAACCCTTGAATCAAGAGGTATTGAAAGGGTCGGATCAAGCACAAGAACCGAGGAGTCGGAATATGAAGTGACGCAGACGTTTTTTCGAATCTGCATTTATGACAAATGTTAGACTTGTCAAATGATAATGATTGTCAATTTTCAGGTCGACTTAAGGAGAGCATTTAAAAAGCATGATGACCTCGAAACAAGATCAACTCAAAGATTCATGACAGCTCGTGGTCGACGTAAATCAATCAAAGAGCCACAAAGACGACTTGATAGCCCTAATGGCGACCTGACTCACATTATGGCCTGAAGTGACTGGAAGAATAGAACTGAGGGTTTCGGAAAGAACCTCAACCTATCACCCAATGACGACTTAACCTACCTCATAGCTCGAGGTAGACCGCGTAGCAGATGATCTCAAAAAAGGAATCTTAAGAGGATAAGGAGAAATCTTAAGATGATTAGGATCTGACTAAGAAGTGATTAAGATATGGATAAGCATTAAAGCGCGGCTGCCCGTGGATAAAACATTTTGGGCAGGTATTTCCCTATAAAAGGGGTTAAGGTATCACCAAACTTCAACTTGACATTCCATATACATTAGATACTGCTCTTATTGATAGAGCACCCACTATTATCTTCCTTATATTGACTTTAGGCATCGAAGGCTTTTCGTCGGAAACCCCTCCGGCATTGAGTTCTTGTAGGTACGCGCGGTGGTTCAAGTAGATCATTGCAACCAGTTCAATCCAAATATGAGAGAGGACCCATCAGTAGACATATAAACAAATATATTATATTTAAAAGATATATAAATTAAAGTATAAAATTTTATATTAAAATAATATATATACATATTAAAAAGGTATCATGATTTATTAATTGGTGAACCTGTCTTTGATATCGCACGGTAGAACCTGGCTTTGATATCATGACAGAAACTGGTGGATAACGGGTGCGGTCCCACTATCATGAAGCGCACCATGAACGGGAAAAAACTCATACGAAGCTCAAGTGGGGTTACAGTCCAAAACCAATTGGTGGAAGAAAGAGTAGCCCATTAATCTTATAAAGTGGGTCTATTTTCCATTCTAACAATTAGCCAGTGTATATTTAGTTATTAAAGAAAAAAAAAAGATAAAAAAAAGAAGATTACATATCACGGTATTTGGCTCTAGTGGGAAATATTATGACCAGATTTGACTATCTAAATAGAGTTAGTTAAATTAATTAATTATCTTTCTAACCTACTTTACAGACAAACCCTTCGTGAATAAGGTCTTTTTTTCTCTCTCTCGGCAAATTGACAGGAAAATGAAAGAGGAGCATTTGTTTCTCTCTCATCCTATACTTGCACTGTTACACATTCTCTATCACTTGCGTGTAATCTTTGGGGCTTTCACAATGAAGACCACACTGCCAGGTCATTAGCCGCATGCCCTCAATAAAATCTATTCATCTTCCCTATTTTCTCTCTCTATGACTTTATCTCTCACCCTTTCTCTCTCTCACACACTCACAGGCATCTACTTGACTTCTTTATTAATACAGCAAAAGAGGATTTATTGTGGAAGGAAAGGAAAAGATAAAAAAAGGCCAAAACTTTAGCACTGTGTATAAGCTCCGAGTAATGGTCGTATATTTTCTTTCTTGGTCTTGAACCATTAGAAAATCTAAATCCCACCATCTTATCCTCCCTATAAGATCTGTCTTTTTTATTCTTTGTTGGTCTTTTCCATATTTTTAGGGAAAATTATGGGTGCAGCTACAGTTGATGAACACATTTACAGATGTGCGTTTGTATAGAGCCGTAAAGAATCAATTTTTCAGCTGCCCTTTCATTTTCTTGATGAGCATGTAAATGGGTTCGCTTGAAAGCGTGCCGTCGCTGAAAAGGGACCACCATTTGCTGCGTTCTTCTTCGTCCTTTAGGAACAGCAACAGTAGTTTCAACAGCAGCAGGAGCAGATCAAGATTTGCCAGATTTGTGCTTTGCAAGAAGATTGACTACCTGCAGTTGATTTGTGGAGTGGCCGTGTTTTTCTTCTTTGTTTTCCTCTTCCAGATTTTGCACCTGCCTGGCTCCGTGACGGAGGATGGAGATAACTCTGGCAAATTCAAAGGAACCCATGACTTCATATCGGGGGATGATGAGGAGAATCTTGCGAACTTGACATTCTTAAAAATGTTGGACTTTGGTGAGGATTTGAAGTTTGAGCCTTTGAAAACCATGGAGAAGTTTCAGAAGGGTGTTCATGCAGTGAGAGAAAGTGTCGGTTCAGAGAAGGCTGTGAGATTTGGGTATAGGAAACCAAAGCTTGCCTTGGTAATTACTGTGAAAAGTTATTTCATTTTAGTTGATTTAGTTTGGTTTTGGTCCATTGAGTTTGTTAATTTCAGCAGAAGGGGAAAAATGAAAATCTGTTCTTGAGTTTCTTTCTTTTTTGGCTATAACAGTTTTGCTTGTGTGAAGCAATTTAGCTAAAAAGAGGGTGTTCTTCAACATTTATTTGTAGGTATTCTCAGATCTGTGGATCGATCAACATCAGATACTTATGGTGACAGTTGCTAGAGCATTGCTGGAAATCGGTTATGAAATTGAGGTTATTAGCTAGTCAGCTATTTTCTTTTGTTACTTCTTGGACTAATTTTTTTGGGTTTATAACATAATTGGGTAATTTATGTGTAGCTTCTGGATTATGCCACTTTGTTTCATATCTTTCACTCCTAGAATTTTCTTAAATAACCAGCTTTTGTGTGGCCTCTTAAATAAGAGCAAAGCAAAATGCATTACAGAATTTTTTGAAGTTCAACAGCTCCGTCTTACTCCAGGCTTCTTGATAAATTAGTTAGTATCTTGAGCAACTTATTATGATAGTTTTTGTAAAGTATTACCTCAAGTAGGAGGTGTTGGTCCAAAAGGGGAAGGCTAACCATATTAACACTGATCAAATCAGCTTTCACCTAACCTATATTTTGTTTGATATTAGTTACTCTGACTTAGTGCAAATGAAGCTGGAAGAGTCATTGTTGACAATTCTCCTGGCATAGTGCTAATGATGGACTAGATCAAAATGGCTCAATTAAATTCTAGTGCTTCTTCTATTAGTGAGTTTCTAGAAAAAAAAATATATCAAACGGCGCAATGCACCTTGGGTCGCTACGGAAACAACCTCCTTGTATAGTTACAAGGGTAAGGTCTGCGTACAACTGACCCCCCAGACCCCAACCTGTTGGGAATATACTGGGTATGTTGTTGTTGTTGTTGTATTAGTTACTCTGACTTATGAGAAAGTTCAGCGGTGATAGTCTTTTGATTGAAAATGATATTTGGTACTACAAGGAAATTCAGGCCTTTAAAAGGTGTGGATGCTTCAGGAATTTTTGTTTCAAAACTTCTCTTGAAAAGTTAGTTAAAGTGATACTTCTGGTTAGTAACTGTAAATTGCCACCCTAGGCTTGACATTTTGATACTTCTGTTAATGTCAAATAGTGCAATGCATTTAAAAAAGTCAGATACTTCTCTCTCTCTCTCTCTCTCTCTCTCTCTCTCTCTCTGAGCTGTCATAATTTGACATTGGTGTTTACAGGTTATTTCACGTGAAAAGAGTCCAGCATACTCTATATGGAGAGAGATGGGAGTTCCACTGATTGTCAACATGGGTTATGAGAACTCTAAGTGCAGTGTGGATTGGCTAAAGTATGAATGTGCCCTCAATTTGGATGAATCTCTAATACTGTTCTGTTTTCTATTTTTTACGGTTTTCGAAAGTTCAGGATTGTGTTAGCTACTGCATGCTATCTATTATGCTCAGCCATTTTATTGGGAGTTCTTGTGAAAGAGTATAGTATTTTAGGAGATTTGAATCATTGCAGCTAAGTTAAAGAAGTTGAGAATCAAAAGCTGGTATTTATTAGGAAAAGGAAAAAGAAAGTCTAAAAATTGATGTAACCAGGAGATAGCATTTTGTGGGAAAGTTGTGTATCTGATTTAAGGGACAACTCAACATCTCATAATATTCAATCTTTTTGCTCAATAACTAAGACTCAATCTCTCTGGTCGTTCTTTTAATGCTATCGATGAGGAACTTCAGCACATAATGGAATTTAAGGGATACATGTTCAATGTATATTCTTCTTAGAGTATTCCAATCTTACTACTCTATCACAAAATGCTCATATTTGTTTGTTTACTTTTTATGGTTTGCTCATTTAGCTGCATACTTAATATTGTTTATCATAAGTAATTTCACTCTAAATATTATGGGTACTTAATTTTTTTAAGAATCCTTTTTTCGCTGTAATTAAGTGTATATTATAGCATACATGGTATGGCTTTATGTTAGTTTGTTAAAGGTATGATTAGCTACCATAGGTAATGTCGAAAATAATTTAAGGCTAATCAGGAATAGTAAAATTTAGTTTTTATAATTTCTAATCTCATTTTTCTTGTTTGCAGCTATGATGGTGTCCTCGTGAATTCTCTTAATGCTGCTGGATTCTTGTCTTGGTAAGCAATGTCATTTCATTCTGCATTCCACTCTATGTACCATGGTTTTAATTTTGTTCTTTTGAAAGGTCAAATTTACCTTTTATTTACAGCAAAAGAAGTGATTACATCCACTAGCTTTATGTGATATCTATTTCATTTTCCGTAACTCCTTGCTGGACCCATTTATTTTTCTCGTGTAGTTTGGCGTTTTTTCGCCTTACTTTTCTGTTCTATATTTTTATGTGTATTTTTTCTTAATCAAGGATATGGTTACAATATAAGAAATCGTTTGTTTAAAGCTATCTATGAAGCTAAGATATGCTGAAGTGACGAGAAACGCAGTCTTAAGGCTTCCAATGTATTAATTTAATAATTATGAAGGTTCACCTGTTTTTGTTGACGAAATCCTTTTGCCAAAAAATAAAAGGTTTTACTTGTTACAGTCTCATGCAGGAACCTTTTAAGAATGTCCCTCTTTTGTGGACCATCCATGAAGAGACACTTGCTACTCGATTGAGACATTACGTTTCGAGTGGTCAAAGTGAGCTGGTCAATACCTGGAGCAAGGTCTTCTCGAGGGCCACTGTCATTGTCTTCCCAAACTATGTTCTGCCGGTAAACTGTCCTTTTCTCTTGTTATTGACCTATGCATAATGCACTTGAAAGTTTTTTTCAATTTTGTTAATTATGAACTGAGCTGATTTCTTTATGCCCATAATTTAAAGACACATTGTGAAGAGGCTGTGGTGAAAGCCTTAGGATAATTATTTTTATTGATATTAATTGGGTTTCTCAAATTTATTTCAGATAGCTTATTCGACTTGCGACCCTGGGAACTACTTTGTCATCCAGGGCTCCCCCGAAGAAGCTTGGAGAGCTGATAAGCAAATTGTTTCAATGAAAGATAATTCGGGTCTGGAAAAAATGCAGTACGGAGCCAATGATATAGTTATTGCAATTGTGGGTAGCCGTCTATCATATAAAGGCATGTGGCTCGAGCATGCCTTTGTCTTACAGGCTTTGCATCCGCTTTTTAAGGACTTAGGGGACTCGAGTTCCCGTCTTAAAATCATTATCTTGACTGGAGATTCGACTGGTAACTACAGCAAAATCGTGGAGGTGAGAAAAGTTTATCATTATCCTCTTTGAGTATTTGTATGATATGTGTATTTAACATCAGTGCACTGTAGCCCATCCTTACAGTAGTACTTTTTTCCTTTTACAAGTTGAAGTACGAAAACTTCCCTTTAGGTTTGTCTATTACGAAATTACCCATTTAATCTTCAAAATTAACAAACCTTCCTACGACCTTTCTTTTTGTGGTGCTTACTAAAACCTCACCTGTGGTTTGGGGTATTTACAAAACACTTGCATAATTTCAGAATTACAGATAAAGTCCTTGAGATTTGTTTTTATCTTATGTTTTCTACCTACATAAGCAAAAAGAAGTTCCAATACCCCTCCTACATTTATGAAGATATCACAAATCGAACCTCATCTTTTTAGTTCAGAACTTCTCTGGTCTTCTTCTTGTAAACTCTGAATGCGGGGCTAGTTTTCATAATTATCACTTCCATTTAGTTAAATCACATCTGCTGAAAGAAAATCTTTAAGGGGTTTATTTGGAATTTTACACGACCAACGATCATCTTTCAGTAATTAAGCTATAGTAATTCAACTCCTTCTCTTTAACAGACACTTTAATATTATTGTTAATGCAATTTACTAATTTCAAATGTTATTTCATAACGTTCCATGTCTTCTAACGCGACAATTTTTTGCTTCCCAGACTATATCTCTGAAATTGGGATATCCAAACGAGACAGTGATGCATGTTCCTGTTAATGAAAACACTGATACTATTATACGAACTGCACATCTTGTGATATACGGATCGTTTCTTGATGAGCACTCTTTTCCCAACATTTTGCTGAAAGCCATGTGCCTAGGGAAACCTATAATAGCACCAGATCTACCAACAATAACAAAATATGTAAGTATCTGTAGTATGCATTATTATTCATGAAATTATTTTATTTGGAAATCCCAGGTTTTCTTTTATCTTTGTTTCTTTAAAAATCTTGACTTGCCATTAATGTCAAAGCTGACCTTCTCATGATATTATCGACAACCTTAGGTCAGTGATAAGGTAAATGGCTATATTTTCCCAAAGGACGACACGAGTTATCTCACTCAGATTGCATTTCAAGCCGTCTCAAACGGAAAGCTCTCTCTCTTATCCACCAATATAGCTTCAATGGGGAAAAGTACAGCTAAGAACATGATGGCCTCCGAAAGTGTTGTAGGATACGCGTCCCTACTCGGAAAAATTCTCTCTCTACCCTCTGAGGTTGCTGTCCCCAAATCTCCCGACAATATTCCTAAAAAGCTGAAAGGTGAATGGCAGTGGCATCTTTTTGATGCAATCGGAGGTAATGATTCTCTTAATCGAGACATGACCGAATTTTTGGATAGAATCGAGAAGCAATTCAACAGTAGTGGTAGAGAGAATGTGGCGGCTTCTGGTGAGGCGTTTTCGTACGCGATTTGGGAAGAGCAAAAGTATATAGATACAATCACTATGCGAAAGAGGAGAGAGGATGAAGAGGTTAGTTTGTGGGTTTTGGGTTGTGTCCTTTCATTCTTAGGGTTAGTTGCTAGAACTACATAGAAATCCTCCAAGAGGTTTAGTTTAATTACAAGGAAGGAAACACATCCCCTCTAGTTTAACAAAACGAGTTGTCGAGTAAAGAGTGCTCATGTTAAGGAAAGTGTTAAAATACCCCAAGTTAATTGATATTAGTAAATGAGTCAAGGGTAGTTAATATAGTTATCTCCAAGGAATAGAATGGTACTAAATCTCCTGGTGTTGATTTTTGGCATTTATTTTCCGTTCTTTCTTTTTTCTTCTTCTTAACACTTGGAAACTAAATGCAGTTGAAGGATAGGACAGATCAACCACGGGGAATGTGGGATGATGTATATAGAAATGCTAGGAGGGCAGATCGGTCATTGCACGAAAGAGATGAGGGAGAACTTGAAAGAACTGGTCAACCACTGTGTATCTATGAACCTTACTTTGGAGTTGGGACATGGCCCTTTTTGCACCATACTTCACTATATAGAGGGCTTGGGCTGGTGAGCACGCTTCCTAATGCTATGTTTTAAATATAAACCTCAAAAGCAGTAATGTTTGTGAAAATAAAGAGTTTTTTAATAATTACTTTAAACCTCTATTGAAATTTAACCTCCTGGCTGATATTGTAATTTTAACCATTCAACATTTCAACCAGTGACATGCAATGATGTGATGCAAATTAGATTTCGTATATTGAAAATTTTTCATGTTCAGGAAAAGTGCAATATTTCTTGCCTGTTAATTTTATGCAAATGTAATAAATTTGGAGGGGGTTTTGTACAGTCTACAAAAGGGCGAAGGCAAGGGGCTGATGATATTGATGCTCCTTCACGTCTCCCTCTATTGAACAATGCTTACTATCGAGAGGTCTTGGGAGAATATGGTGCATTTTTCGCAATCGCTAACCGTGTCGACCGCATTCACAAGAATGCTTGGATAGGATTTCAATCTTGGAGAGCTACTGCAAGAATGGTATGAAATTACTGTTTTGTCCCTGTCTTGATTATCCACATGATTCCCAAGAAAAAAAAAAAAAAGGAAAAGCAAAACAATATTCTGATAGTGATGCATGTTACTCATGACAATCTGGACTTTCTTTCAATAAAATTTACTTGAAGAAATAACAATGTCTGACAATTGATTTACCAGGAATCTTTGTCCAAAACTGCTGAAAGGTCACTGTTGGATGCTATCGAAGCACGAAGGCATGGGGACACATTGTACTTCTGGGCTCGTTTGGACATGGATCACAGAAACCCTTTAAAACAGGATTTCTGGTCATTTTGCGATGCAATTAATGCTGGGAATTGTCGGTAAGTTTTTTTTCTTGTCAAGTTCTCATCCTTTTTTTTAGGATTCCATTCAACACAAGTTGAAGTGAAGAAACAATGTGACTAATTTATAAAGACTTCATTAGCTTCGAATTCTCGATCCATTTCCAGTTATGACTACAAATTTTGTCGGTTTTTGATAAGAGCATGTTACACCTAATTAGTTTTATATGTAGTATTATGGTTACTATTGTTGTTGGTATATTATTATTAATATTATTTGACCGGCAAATCAGCATACAAGTAATTCTGTAAATTATATCCTGGAAAAGGATCTTGACATGTTTCTCTCTCTCTCTCTCTCTCCTCTCTCCTCTCTCCTCTCTCTCTCTCTAGGTTTGTGTTTGCTGAGACTCTAAAGCAGATGTACGGCATAAAGCATAACTTGACTTCTCTTCCATCAATGCCTTCTGAAGGAGGCACTTGGTCTGTCATGCACTCCTGGGTTTTACCGACTAAGTCCTTCATGGAGTTTGTTATGTTTTCAAGGTTTTGACTTCTATTACTCTTTGTGCCAACTGATTTTATTTATTTATATATTTTATCATATGATGCCAAGTGAGCTGTTTTTTCCATCTTCAGAATGTTTGTAGATGCACTCGATGCAAAATTCTATGACGATCACCAGAAAAACGGGCGATGTTCTCTCAATTTATCCAAGGTATAATCTTCCTATACATTGGCTGATCATAAAGTTGAAATATCACGATTTTGTTGCTTCAAGGAAAATTACAAATATTGCCCTCGTGCTTCAGCCTAATTTTCAAAGAACTCTACATTTCATACATGTGTAATGTGTTTGCCCATTCCTAAGCAAAAGCATCAAGAAAACCTCAGTTTACATTCATAAACATGTTACAATTACGGATTTACCCCTTAAACTTGAGGCAGAACAATCATCAAGTCCTGTAACACATACACACACTATGGGCAGGACAAGCATTGCTACTCTCGTTTGCTGGAGCTTCTCGTGAATGTCTGGGCATATCATAGCGCAAGACGGATGGTTTATGTAGACCCAGAGACAGGTGTCATGCAAGAACAGCACAACCTTAAAGGGCGAAAAGGTCAATTGTGGGTCAAATGGTTCCAATTCTCCACCCTCAAGACCATGGATGAGGATTTAGCCGAGGAGTTCGACTCTGACCGCCCGAAAAGGCATTGGCTCTGGCCTTCGACTGGTGAGATATTCTGGCAAGGGATTTACGAAAAGGAGAGGAATATGAGGAATAAAGAGAAGGAAAAGAAAAGACAACGCAGCAAAGATAAAATCCAACGGATTAGGAAACGAACTCATCAAAGGGTGCTCGGGAAGTACGTGAAGCCTCTCGAGGAGTCAAATTCTACGAGTCTTGAGTCCAAGATTTTGAGGTAGTAATAAATCTCTTGCCATTTTCTGTCAATACCAATCAGCTAATTCTTTTGTATCAATTTTTTTTCTTCTTCTTTTGGGGTTTTAGTTGAAAACGGGTGCCTAGGATTGTAAGAAATTGTTATGAGTTTGTATTTAGTTTTTGCACCCTTTTTCGGGTCTTCATGAGGCTTCTTTGAAGTGTATACCAGTTTGTTCTTTCTATTTTTTTTTTCTTCATTCTTTTGATTTGTATAAAATTGTAGCAAGTGTATGTTGAACATTCTAACCTTATGGATTAAGGCACATGTATAAACTTTCTAGAATGGTCCTGGAATTTTTGTTGTTTTAGAGCATCTCCAAATGTATGTATGTGAGTGAAGTCCATGCATTATCCACCCTAAAAGCTTAATTTAATTCTGATAAAATCATTGTATTAGTGAAAAGCTTAATTTAATTCTGATAAAATCATTGTATTAGTGAATTGATATCGGAAGCTAGCAACTAGCAAAACCGCAAACTCGCCTCTTCAATCTTGCTTGAACAAAATTTAACAAACATGAGATGTTAATGTGCAAAGACAACCAATTCTAATCAGATAAACATTTATAATAGACGCCTTATGTCCAAAACACTGGTACGCTGCAAAGGAGATGCTAATCATTTTCTCCAGATTATACACAAACAGCTTCTTTATTGATACGATTGGTTGGGTTTCCTACTGATAATTTTTAGCAAACGTGGAATCATCTTGTGATGGTTTGTCTCAAAATTTACGAGTGTGACTTCACTTTTGACGACTTTTGCTTCACAAAGAAGGCCGAAAGCACACTCTTACTGCGTGCTGGGGGACAAGCAATTTCCCTTTGAGGAGTGTTGGTAAACGACCGATATGGAGTCAAAGGTTTGGAGCCTACTGAAAATTCCTGCAAAAACAATAAGAAGCTTTCAGTAAAACATCCTCAAAATGAACAGTTCTACTTAAAATCATACCACATAGTTCAGTGATTTCAACAACTGTCCAAGGCTAGGATCAGATCCTGCATACTCAACTTCCAAAAGAAAAATGGGATTGACCTATAACTATTCATCAAATGATGACTGAACCAAAACAAATCAAAACATAAAACTTTCTTTCCTCCCAACAGAACCTGGTATTATCAGAAACGGCAAATGTGCTAACAAAATTGTGGTAAATAAAAAATAAAACTTTCTTTCCCTTTCCCAACTAATGTGTAAATGAAGTGCGAGAAAGTTGAACACTACCTGACGCGTGAAACCGAGTGTCTGCATTGCTACAGCTGAAGCCGGCGGGGATTTCATCCTAGAATTAACTTGGCCATCTACTCGAAAAAAAAAATATTTTTACAAATTGAATTCTTAATTCTTATAATCACCACTATCATGAGTAGCATTATGACACTGCATACCTAGCATGTTGAAGGCCTCAATGGTCTTCCCAGATGGTTTTGCATCCCCAGTGCTGAAAAAAGTAAGCAAAAGTTATTTTTATCTTTGAGTGTGTGTATGTACGTGTGCTTGCCAAAAAAATGGGAGTATTTTTAATTTAGTCAAAACTAGGATAAAACTCCCGGGCAAACCTTATAATATCACGTGGAGAGCCTTTCAAGGTAGATTTGGTTTCAGATGCTGCTAAGTGCCAGGAAAGAGTTTTTGCAGCAGAAGCACCTAATTAAAAGGCATTGAATAAACAAGTCAAACAGGAGATAGTATATTTCGTTACTTTTGAGAAGCCTAACATTACTAACAATCATCCGAAAAGAAAAAAAAAATCAGCCACCTTGAGAATAAAGACGAGCTCTAGCTTGTATAGCATGCTTAGGATCAGTCTGTATATGTGGGTTAAAGTGCACCTTCTTGTTCAAAGAATCTGGCTTGTAGTCAATGTGAACAAAGTTGAATGAGAATACTGGAAAGGGCTTGAATCTTATTAATTAACCAAAAGAACTACAAGAAGCAGGAATGATCTTACTCGGCAAGGTATAATGTTTGTGATGCGTTGGGATGATAGCCAATACTTGCTGCTGCCTAAGACCTTCTTTCTCCGTATACGTTTGACACGTCAGAAGTCGCTAATTGAAATTAAAAAATATATAAAAAATAGCTTCATAATTACAACTTATAGAATCTCCAGTAGTTCATGAGTTCGAAAATTACCTGATTGAGACAAGTAACTTTCAGTTCCATGCAGGATAGGTCCAGTGTTTGCTGCTCCAAAAGATCAGTCAATTTGTAAGCAACGGTACCAAGGTGGTCGATTGCATTGACCAGAGTTCGTAAAGCGTAATCCTTGAGATTGTCCAATACCCTAATATAGAAGTAACTTTTTCAAGAGCAAATAAAATTAAATATATTTATGACTCGTCCATTAAATCCTATCCTTCTTGTTCGGTTCAGATCAGTGCAAGACAGTACTTCATATAAATTAATTGATTAATTTTTTTAACAAAAACGAAAAATCAGAACATTGCTTTATCCTTCAAGAAATAACAATTGATGCAACTAAGCGACTCATTTTCGAGCAAAGCCAGTAAGATAAGAAGTTTGCAGAAAGCTTACATTTGCTTTTGCTCACTGTTAAGGTAAGACTTCTCACAGTAATCTGCTGCCGAATATAGTTGTGGCCTAAGGTTCTTGAGTTCCTATAACCATATAACACAGAAGGTAACAATCCCATAAGACTGCAGCACAACAACATCTCAAACATTATTAGACCAAAATACAACCTAAACCATCTAAGTTGGTGAGTGAGACCAAACGCAGTTATAAGTTTCAGGAGGAAAAAGAAGGGGAACAAAAACCAGTTGGCAAACTTTGAAAAACAACAAATGCGAGCCAAGTTTCCAAAGCTACACCTAATAGAAAAGGTAATTTTACCATTCCCATATATATTTTGTACAAAAGCCACCTTCTTAGATCTGATCCCAATAAACCCAAATAAATTAAAAAGAAAAAGAAAATCATATTTGATCAAAACCAAAAACAGAATTCCACCTGCAATGCCGTCACGAAGCTCTTACTTCTCTCCATTGAAGCCTCCCCAAAGCCCACGCTCTTATTCTCCGTCATAGCTCTCTGCACCACCATCAAACTGAAATCGAAGCGGAACTGCACCAAGCAGCGGCTCAAAATCCCAACTGGAAATACAAATAATAACCACAAACGAAAATTATTCTAAAGCAGATTGCAAAATTCAACCCAGTTAAAATTGATTTGGAGCTAAGCAATGGTGAAGATTTAAGGCGGTGGGGCTAGGGAAGTGTGTGCAGCTGAAGCAAGCCCCGGGAAGTGGGATTGCAGTTCTAAATGGGGTCAGAAAGATGAGATGGGGGAAAACAAGAATGAAAGCGCCGTTGGGAGGTATTTATTTTGGGACAGAAAGGGTAGTTGAACTTCAAGTGGCCTAGAGATAGGTCATGCTCTCATATAATTATTGATTACTGCACCCATTTTGTAATTTTTAAAACATAATTTTCAAATTATTGTGGCACATATATTTATAGGCAAAACGATTTTTAAAAAAAAGATTTCTAATGACTAAAAGTTTGTTTACCCCGAAAAATCGTTACTTTACTTATGGTACTCCCTTTTTTTGGCCAATAATTTGGTAAGGGAAATTTCATTACAATGTCCAAACTTATTAAAATTGTATCAATTTAAAGTTGAATTTAATTCTTTATTAATAAAAGACTTACATTTGAGGTTATTCTTAATTTAAGATTCACTTTTTACTTAAATTTTCACTGTAAGACCCATATAACTTTACATTATGATATAAATATGGAACCAATTAACTTTTTATTTATTGATATAGTCAGTGACGGAGCCACATTGGGCCCAGGGGGGGCCATGGACCCCCCTCATTTTTTTTAAAAAAATCAATATATATATATATATATAGATATAATTTTTTAAAATATGTATAGATATACTAAAAATATGTACAATATATTAATAATTAAAACTTATTTTATATACTATATTAATTAAATAATAATATTATATATTTATTTAATGAAAAACGTACTAATAATAATTATATTTTACATTTCTAAATAAGTTTTTAAAAATATTTATAATGATTTACTCTTTCGGTCTCTTAATTGTAAATTGGTTTTTTTATTTATAAAATCGAGTATTTAATTGGATTGTTACTTTTTTAAATATTGATTTTTTCTTTTTTTTTATGTAATCACACATTTTTAACTTTATTTATTTTCTTAAAAAATATTTATTTGGTAAGCTCTGATCAACAAAACTATTGCGATATGCTTCGAAATTTCAATTTAGATCAATTTTGCAACCAGAAAATTTATATTTATAGATGTTGAACTTAAATTACAAATACATGAAATTTCAAATATTTTTTTTTTTACTTTTTTAAAAGTTTGAAGGTGATACGGATACTAAGTTTTTAAAAACTTGATGGTAAACATGTAGATATTTATATTTATAGTAAATACATTTTTATATGAAATGAACGTTTCGACTTAAACTACAAGCNAAAATTGCACACAAACGGTAATAGGGTCGAGTAATTAATATCTCCATCACTAAATCAAATGATATGATCATATTAGGAACTAGTAATCAACCTGTGCATTTGCACAAAAAATATACTTTAAAAACATAACAATAAAAAAAAGTCATAATTTAATTCATGAAAAAAAATATAAATTAAGAAAATAATGCTCAAAATTGATTTTGATCAAGTAATTGCTACGGAAGAGCCGTTACAACCATTTTCTTTATGCTAATACACCCAGTTATTTTCATGAGTGAGTGTGACTTAAAATTTGAGTACAATTTTGTAACTCCCTTGATTGGTTTATGCTCATAATTTATGGCATTCAAGCAAGTCAATTTGTAACTTAAAAATGAAATTGAATGCTGAAAATTTTGGAGGAGAATAAAATTTAATGCATAAGAATAAAATTTAATGCATGATAATATAATTTAATGCTTTGTTGCTCCTCTTTATATATAGATATATAGATTATCATTTACTAAAAGTAGTAGCAAAAAATTTAGGAAACATTTAATGCAACCATTTTTGGAAGCTTTTTAAATATATGCATTAATTTCTTCCATATACACGTTTTCAAATAAGATCAAATAAGATATGATCAAAAAATCATTTAAATAATTTATTAATATCTGTAATATTTTCATTGATATTTTTTATAATAAATCACAAGATTGATTTTCCGTGATTCATGTTGATAATAATTTGGTAAAGCTAAATGTTTGTCCTATTTTTTTTGCGTTTTTCCTTGTTATTTTTTTCTTTTTTTTTTCCCCCATATTAGGTCTGTTAGTTAGCTTTTATCTCGTTCTGTAGTTTATTGCGTGTTTTACTCTATCTTGGTTTTTCTTATGTTTTCCGTATGTTTTTTCGGTTTTTCTTCGTTTATGGTGTGTAGGTCGAAAGCTTCGGGAAGATTGAATTTTTGGCAAAAGTCAGTCTGGCAAGCATAATAGATAGAAGAGTTCGTCGGCGTCACACAGGAAAAAATGAAACTCAATTCCGAGTTCAGACGAATCCGAACGGGGCCGAAACGTAAAGTCCAACAAGCTGCCGACCGTTTGAAGGTTGAAAAACTTTAGAGGATTGTACTATTGGCAAAATCTGGTCATAAAAGCATCATTGAATAGAGAGGTTCGTTAGCGACGTGTAGGGAAAAACGGAACTCAATTCCGAGTTCGGACGAGCCCAAACGAGCCCGAGACGTGAAGAAGTGCGAGCTGCCCAGGCCCCGCGCTGCGACACCTGCCCTCGCCGCGCTCGCGCCGCGAAGCACTCCCGCGCCGCGGCCAAGTGCCCTGCCGCGCCGTGTCGCGCCTTCCTCACGCCATGTCCGACTTTTCTTATAAATATGTGTACGGGAACTCGTTTTATTCATTCTTCCCCTGCTGGGGACGAATCCTTGGCCCGTAAAAACACCACAGAATTCCTTTCTTCTCCTCTCCTTCTTCTACTTCGTTTTTCTTCTTCTCTTCACCATTCTCTTTCATTTTTTTTTTCCTTCTTCTTAATAATTAGGATTAAGCTTGTAACATGAATTCAACTTTGGAACTTGGATTCATTGTAAAGTACTCCTTTCTCTTATTTAATTCATGAATAATGGTCATTTGAGAGGAATGATTATGATTGTTGAATTTGATTTACGTAGCTAAATCTGATTGCTAGGGATAGGGGATGATTATTCTTGTTTAACGTGTATTTGTCGGGCTTAAATTGTTCATGCTTATGTGAGTTAATCTGATTAGGAATTGATGTAATCTTGCTTGATTGATTGATATAATCGAAGAGTGACACTTCTATCTTGCGATTGAAAATGATTGAATGTTAATTTGTCGAGTTAGGGTTTGTTAATTCTATATGATTAGTTGATTAAACTGTTGGGCTCGCCTGTACCGTACGGGTTATACGCAGCGGAAAATTATGTTTCAAAAACAAGTATTTATCATATAAATACTCAACCCATACGTACATATAGCGGATGCACGAATCGTCATCATTTAAAACATGTAATAATACAAATTTTGATTTGTTGTAAGTAAATTAAAATTTACCTTTGTTCTTGAACTCCTTCAAAAATGAAGATGGTTGAGGAAATCAATTCCCGGTTTGATAACTTCTATTTGTTGATGTTACTCGCTTTAGGAATCCAAATGTCTTCCCTCTAATCGTATCCACCTTTTGAATTCGGTTACAAAATAGTTTCTTCGCTAGTAGAAACTACTCGGTTTTATTCAATATGTATAGAATATATTTTGAGGAGATTTTACAAGAACTCTTTCTTGTTTTAGATTTTGAAGAACATTTCTTCTTTTCTCTGTTTTTCAACTCTTGAAAAGCTTAAGATCAAATCTTGGATTAAAATGAACATCATGTATGTCCATATTTATACTAAACATTTTAGTATAAAATAATAATATTTGGTGGAATATTTTCATAAAATATAAAAAGTCTTCAAGAATATTTTCATAAAATATTCATTCTTGAATAGGACTATTCCCACTAAATATTGTATTAATAAAAATAAGATTAATTATGTGGAGTAGTTAACAACTCCAAACCACCATAATTAATTTATTCTTATTAATATAAAATAATAATTCTTGAAAACAATTTTTTAAGACTTTATTATTTTAATTTTTTGTCCCATCTCCTCATTTAATAATCATATTATTATTTGGATTTGAAATTTTAAATCTAATTTTAAATTCCAACTATTTATTTAGTAATTTCATTAATTACTAAATTAATATCTAAAAATACAATTAATCAATCTAATTGATTAATTTAATATATTCCTTTAATTGACATCTAATCAAATTAGTTTTGTCAATTAATTCTAACTCTTTAGAATTACTATTTGAATTTTACCTTCATTCAAAAATTGGTGTGACCTTTTAGGTTCACAATTAATACTAGTAGTGGGCTTACAACTCTTTGTAACTTGAATTAATTTAATTAATTCTTATCATGAAATTAACTCCTTAATTTCAAGAACCCACATATCATGGGAACATCTAGCAAGTAGCATGAATCTAGTATTAAGTGAATAGCGAGTAAACCTATTTCGATTACAAGTCCATACATGTAAAATCCTTTCGACATCCAATTTCTCGATTAAATCTTAGGTATGATTTTGTCGAAACCCAAATTAATTTAATAACTATGATTCCATTTCAAGTTTAGTAATTCGTTTATGAATCTCTATTCATCCCGCCTTGGCCAAGGACTTTGAATTACTAACTATGAAACACATAGGAAATTCACGTATCTTCATACGTGTCGAATCCTTTGTTGGCCACTGACAAACTTCCATGCATATTAATATAATACCCAAAATATCCCTTTATACGATTGTGCTAGCAACCAAAAGGATAAATCAAAGTAAAATAGAATATGCACAAAGTTACCATCGTGCCTCAAGTCTAAGGATTAGTCCTGTACTATTGTAACATGAAAATTCTTATTCGACATGATAAACTTTCATTAAGAATTTTCATACGGTCATGTTCAGTGAACTTGTTCTCTAACAAGCACCCACATATATGTATTTGCGTCACGCTAATGTTGATGGAATGCAACATTCTTGTCCAACAAGTATACATCATATGTTCAAGTCTTTTCCGGATTTATTCGATATCCCATCTCGAAACATCCAACGACTTGGAACTGTATTTAAGATCACAACTTTCAAGGTATTTTCCATGATCACCATCTCTATGCGCAACCATACCTTATAGCTATATGTGATCTAGGGATTTTATCTTAAGTGCAAATATAGGATAAATGCTTACTCTTAAAGTAAAGTAATGCCTTTTAATTAATATAATTCCAATAGATTGTATTTACAAGTAGAAT